CTTCTGTATAAGCTCGTGGACTCTGTTATCCCTGAGGAAGAAGTAAAGAAAAAATACCTTCTTCATGGGATTCAGCTTTGTAGTTGTTTTTCCAGCCAGTATGCTTTTAAAGAGAGGTAGAGGCTGCAGCATTTGGGTTTCTGCAGGCTTCTAAAGTAATCTAGTGAAAGGTCACGTTTCAGTTGTTACCACCTTGAACTGGCAGGAGAGCACACCACTTTGAATTGATGCTGACATCTAGGGTGAGGTCCTTGCACATCTCTCCTGCTGGTAGGAAAATCTCAAAGGGGCTCATCCCTGTCTCTGCCATCAAAATAAGGTGCTGAATTTAAATCAGACTGGAGGCAGTCCAAGGGTTTATGTGCCTGACTAGCAGTGATTCACTTTCAAAAGAATCAGCCTCCTCTATGCCAAAAATGAAACAGTAGGAAGAGCAATGGGCAACTACAGCAGTAAAATATTTGTATTACCTGCTAAAGAAGTTGTGGGGTTTTGGCATTCTAACTCTCCAATAAAAAATTTAAAAAAAACTTACTCAGTGGTTTTGTAAATGAAAATCTACAACAGATGTCATGTAACATCATGCTGAAGTCAAAATATTACCCAGGCCCTGTAGGCACTCAGTACTTCTCATTTCAGAAGGAAACAGAAGTGAATTTCCAATTACAGTTAAGTTTGGGGAACATTGTAGAAGAATCACTGGCTTCAGATGTGGGGTTAATGCAGCAAACATTTTAGTATACTTTAGTGTTAGAAGATAGTAGGAGTAGAGATAGCTACAAAAGGCTTTCTCATGCTTTGCAGTTGTTTCTCTTTTCAAAAAAACACTGGAGTGCTTAAAAATGGGATGGTTGTAAACTAACAGCAAAACTGCATGCTTATTAGCAGTAGCTTAATTTGGTAGAAGAGAGAAAAGTGGTTCCCCCCCCCCCCCCTCCATATTGCATGAGTATCTAATCAAGTAAATAGCTACAGATGACAAAGTACAGGCTTGTGAGCCTATTGTTTGTTTAGCAAAGGGAAAACAGCGGGTTTTGCATGGAATGATCCTCATGTCTGTGACATTCTCTTGCTGATTTTTGTTTTTGTCTATCCTGGCTATGGAAGCTAAAAACTAGGTCCTGCTTCAAATTTCAGATGTGCAATAGCTAATTACGGTACACATAATCTTAATAAAGAAGTGTCATTAGTTATAAAATATGTTTACCCTAGAGTTTCATGGGTAGGAGATGGAGAGTCCAAGCTGCAGAGGGCTGTTGCCAACTGGATGGCTCAGGCTGTGATTTTGTCAATTACTGTTTTCTATTTATGTACCTACAAAGCAGAGATGATAAAATTTGTCTGTATCCTAATTGCCTTGAGCTTTTAGCAAATATTTATGGACTACCTGCAGACTTTCAGGAGATGAGTAATTAAATTGCTACATCTTGTTAAATGTGTTTTGTAGAATTTTATCTCTTCCTGCTTTAACCACCTTCCTCTTTCAGTCTTGAAAGCACTTTCCAGTAGAATTGTTGAAATTTAGAACAAATATTTTTATGCTAAATGGTAGCACATTAACCTCACGTTAAGCTTTGCTCCATCTTCCTCACTTCAGCTTATCCTCATGTTTTGTTCCGTAACATCTCTTGACATTGTAAGATGAACTGTAGATACTAAAGATTATTAAATTGCTCCCAGTTGGATAAATGGGAGCTTTGCCATTGGTTCCTCTGGAAATAGGATCAGGACCTGGATAGATGCATGTAATGTAAGACATGCTAATATGCTTTCTGCCTGAACAAATAGGACTCTAGGCACTTCTGAGCTTGTCCTCTAGTTCTCTGCGACAGCACATGCCACTACTTGATCAACTGGCAACTGAAACTGTTCAGTACATTACAATGATCTTCACATTAATTTGCTGGAAACCAAACCAGCAACCCTGCAACAGGACTGACCAAAAGACTCCCAGTCTAAATCACACCTGAGTATAAATGAAAACGTATTAAATCCATATAAGCACCCAATGAATTCATAATGAGCTAGTGCTGTCACCATAACAAACTACTGCCAGAAAAGAGCTTACAGAGTGGCCGCTAGAGCTCTGGTTTTTTAGGGTCTACAGGCACAATAAATATTACTGTGACTTTGATTCAAATTCTACTTGAGTGTTGTTTAAATGGCCACCACAGAGGTGGAAAAAAACCTAAAGCAAGTGTAAGACTTTATCAAGACCTTGGTTTTCTGGAGTGCTATATGTAACTCTCAAGTATTCCTGACTGCATGTTAAAACTATCCTTCTCTCACCTCAGAATTTCCTTTAATCAGGGACAGGATTTTCACAGTAAAAGTCAATGTCATGTACAATTTCAGGATTTTATTTATGTGACTCTTGCCTCACCAGGAAGTGCACTCTGCAGTATTGCAGTCTTAAAAACACTGAGTTATGCATGGGGGTTTTTGTGTGTCCAGGCACTAAGTCCTGGACTCCAACGACTTAAAAAAATCATCTCTGTGACAGAAGCAGCTCAGCGCTCACCCAAAAGTACTTGGTGGATTGTGGTGGTGTCTTGAGATCCTGTGAGTTGTAAAATGTATGTCATCAGTAACACAGCATCCTCACCTTCAGGTTTAGCAACAGCTAAATCAGCTGCTGAACTCAGAAGAGTAGGTAAATGGAGCACTAATATACATTTTATGTGTAGAGATGGCATACTGCCCTATAGGTGCCCTAATAACATACCTCCAAGACACTTCGAAATAGACTAATAGCAATGAAGAAGAACAGAGCCGACAAGATTGGAAGTTTGTCCCAGACCTGTTTTTCAATAAAGCTAGGATACACATTCATTCTGTTTCATCCTGTTCCTGCAATTTACCTTAAGACAACCAAAATGACACACTATGAAAGCAAGCACTGAGGACCTATCCTCAACAGACCACATGCTTTTAACTTTACTAAATAAGCAGAGAAGGATGACAAAGTGCAACCCGTAGCATCGTATCCTGCCTGTCCTGTCACAAATTGACCAACTCCATTAGTAGAAAATGCGGTCATATTTGTCTATTCTAGCTTGAATCCGCTGGATTACTTTAAAGCAGCTTAAACTTGATTGTTCTGACCCCTCGAAGGCTGGTCACCGCAGGTCTAATACCTGGGCCCTACTTCAAGCCAGGGTCATAGCACAGGCATTTTCAGTGATATGAAGAGCAATAAAACGAAAAAGCAAATAAATGCCTCTGTCCATTGAGTGGTGACCTTGCTAAATTACAGCAGGTATCCTGAGCATCTGTTGTAGGCATTGCTGTGGCCTTCTCTTACAACAGTATCATAGAAACACATATTAGCTCTGGAGGATTGATCTTGCAAAGATCAGTGCAAGGACATTTCAATGAGAAAATGAATAATTCTTTACTCTGATTATGATGATTAATTCTGTTACATCAGCAGCCTTTGCCACAGTCAGTGACAGCAGCAGATTTCATATGGGGAAAAACCTAATTCCAGAGCCAAGAACCTTAAAGGGGAATTTTGTGTGGTTAAGTAATAATATTAATAAATGACACACCAGCAGCTACAATTTTATGTATATGCAGAAGTGCACATACTTTCCTTAATCCTATATAAGACTTTGTACTGATGTATATTTGTTTTGTTTGAAACACCAGCCAAGATAAAAAACTGGCATTGTCGCTGGAATTGACCAGCCACAGATGGACTCAATTGTGGAAGTTTTTGGACCACATGATGTCGGGCAGAAATTCTATCACGGGTGCCAATTTCACAAATAAGTAATCACTGTTGAACTGGCAGGCATCCTACTTCCCTCACTTTGAGTTTGGTTATGCAAAAGACTAATCAAGACATCTATCAGGTACATAATTTAAGATGGATAGGTCTTTGCTAGCACATGAAACTGGATGGCCCTAGAGTTTCAATTTTTGAAGGGGATTTGGCTTTCAGACAGTGCACAGTTTCTGCTCCAGTTCTGAAGGCAAGCACTTGACATGCGCTGATCAGGTCATGTCCCTCTCTCCAGTGCAGTTTCTTCCCTCAGCTGCCATAACTAAGTCATGCTCTTTGTCAGTTTGTTTTTGTCTTGGATGTATTCCAGCTCATGTCTTTTATTCATTCGGTATGAGGCATTTAGGAGGGAACTATCAGGGCCAGGTCCCTCAATCTTTTGTTAGGCAATGCTCATTTGGCAATCCTAACATCATTAAAAATTATTCTCAATAGGGTATGCTCTGCCAACATATGACCTTTAACTGTTAAGAAACAGTAGAGAAAGCACCACAAAAGTAGGTAATTCTATAATCGGTTCAGATAGTTGACAGCTAACAAGAAAAGGCTCTCTTGCATTTAAGCATGGCATTTAGAAAGCTGGAGTAACACTTCAGGTGGCTGCCCTTGTACCTTGATCTGTCTGCTGTTAAAGTTGCTATCCTTGCAACACTGCTCTACAGGAGGAGACTAAATACTATCACTTAGATGTGTAGATTGGTAATTAGCATGTTGACTTTCAAATCAGAATAACTGCAAACACTTCTGCAAGTGTCACCTCCTCAGCTCAGATGTGCTGATCACTTGCCTTGTACTAGCACATTTGCACAGAACAGTATTTGAACCCTATCAAATTTTTTCTTTTTTTGTATCATGTGCAAGGAAGGGAGTTGAAGACTAGGCACAGAAGAAACTAGTGTCTTTTTGATCTAATGAGAAATTGTCTTATAGATTTTAGTGGCAGATAGGATACACCAACATTTTTATTGCAATAAAATTTTTTATTATCTGGGGTGCACTTGTAATGACTGCATATAGCTGTATTGATTAATATCTAATACTAAAAATGCTGGGAAGGTAATGTTCAAGTACATAGAGGGCTACATTGATCTGCCTTACCTACATAAACAAGGAAGTTATTTTAGTGCCAATTTACACTTTGTATACAACCTGCTTTCCAACTATTCAAGGGAGATCAATATTTATGACAATTCATTAGAGAATGCAGTTGACTTTTATTGTATAGACCAAAAAAACCCAGTCACCAACCCACCACTACATTAATTTTATGAAATCAGTTAACAAAATTATTGTAAAAAATAACTTAATTTCTGATAAGCAAATTGTCAGCCCTCCCACGTTCCTGTATTGATAGGGGAAAACAGCATTGAACCAGTATACTCAGTAACTCAAGGACAAATCCACCCTGGTTGCTTAATGGAATAAAAATACTCCTGTTTTCTCCCCCAGTCCCAAACTCAATATTGGTTTATTAAAAAAAAAAAAAAAAAAAAAATCACTTGGAGTTACTGCAGAAGTCCCACACTCTTTACTCCCTAACTCTGATATGTAAGTACCTGATAGAGCTATCCTACTGGTATGTACACAACTTGAGTGAAGCACTGCTTGCCTCCTTCCAAGTGTTTTTTTAGCTTGCCAGCGTATCAAGCTTAATCTTCAGGTTCCTCATAATGTGCATACCCACTAGCATAGGTCCTTCCTAAATTCAAATTGCTGAATACATCTGCGGTCTCTGTATCAGATTCCTTCCCTCCCTCATCATTGTCATCTTCATCATCATCTTCTGCTTCATATTCATCATATTCATCCTCACGATCACCTGCATCTGCAGCCTTGCTGGAGGAGAGGCTCTTCCAGTAAGCATCATAACCAGAAGCTCCGTCTGCATCTTCTCCTCCAGTCTGTCGGCCAAACTTCAAAGAGCGTGCTGCAGGCAGAGAAAAATCATCATGTTCTCACCCCTCAACAGCGATTTGAGCAGAGCATCTGACATTTCCATCCTTTTTCACTACTCAGCAAAGAGTGTACAATGTTAGGCAGCTTTTTTCTAAATCTGACTTTCAGATTTTATCCTTACACTGACAGAACTTTTCTGCTACACATAGTCTGCCCCCCTTGAGCCAAGTCTGTATAAACAGTAACTGCCCCCAGAGTATGACTTCAGTTTTAGGATAAACCCTTTGGTACTCTAGTCAAGAAAACCTGTAATTGGATGTGCTTTGCTGACATAATACATACTGTGATTTATTCAAGAGTGGTGGAGGTAGATTGTATGCATGTCATCAAATTGCACTTTAAAATTCTTTAGCCAGCTTCTTGTAGATGAAATAAAGACTTAAGTGGTGATTTTTTGCAATTTTTCCATAACTAAAATCTCAAACTAAACAAAAGCTTTCCCTGTATTGGAATCAATTAAGGATTAAGAATGAGAGACTACTCACTCAATTCTAGATCTAGGAAACATGAATTTTTTCCCAAAACCAATGCAGCAAAGCTTTGCAAAACAATTGAAAGTAATCAGGCTTTACTCAGTGTTGCTATGCAGAAAAGTAGTCACCAATGGTATTGTATAGCTTGTTAGTCAGAGAAGCAGGCTTACTTGACATGCTCAGATCCTTTGTCTGCTGAGTTTCATGGCCACATTTAGGGCAGGGAGGCTCTTTTCCTTTTTCCTGCTTGAAAACCTTACTTCGCACATGATCGTCACAAAAACAAGCCTGTGGGGTAAAAGGAGAATAAAAAGGCTAAATGTGTTAATCATAGCAGCATCCTCTTCAGCAAGAAGCAAGCAAAAAAAGTGTCTAACAGCAGCAGGATTTTCTGGTTGGGATTAAAATTTAATGAGCTCTATGTGCAGTGGAACTGGAGTCTGTGCACAGAGCAACCACTTCTGTGTTGAACATAGTTTCATGGCTTCCTGGGGAAGAAGCTGGATAAAAGTGCTGATAAACAAGTAGAGAAAGTAACATACTCAAGGACTGGATTATAGTGCTGCCCACAAGGAGCCTGGCAAACTTTGGTTTACGTTGACAAGCTTAAATAAAATACAATCCGAGATGTATGCCAGAACATAACTATGCAGTGACCTGAAGGCAAGAATTAGAGATTGAAATTTCACATGTTGAGCACCATGGTGCCAGTGAAGATATCTGGAGAAAGGAACAATTTGCAGTATGAAATTGATGCCATGGGAGACTGCAGGGAAACATATGTAGGTTAAGTAGAGTAAGAGCAGGCAGTGAACCAGCACCTGGAGAAATCTGGGCAATGCTGATGATGAAGCAGGTGGAACTTTTTACACAAAATTACTTCTGAGTGTGTAAAACCAAAAGCCTGACATCAACAAATTAGCCTGTGCATGTGTAAAACTGGATTAGCTGTGGAGATGATTTCTATTGGATCCAGGCTGCAGTGTTTTCTGGTCAGATCAACACTTAACTGTTTTTAAAACAAACAAACAAACAAATTGTCTTAGTTCTATGCTGGATCAAAACATATTCCAAAGCCTTGGATTCTGTTCAAGAACAAGGATTTGTTTGATTTTTTTTTTTAAATGGCCCAAACATCGTACAGCCCCAATTTAAACACAGAGGGCTGGACAAAGTGAAGATCTCCTCACCTGGCATGGGGATGCACAACATCGACTTGTGGTTAACAAGCAAGCACAGACAGAAGCCCTTTTGTCCCCGATAAGTCTGCCCCCAGGCTTCAGAAACTAATACAAAAAGTATGAATACATTTTTAACAATGCAGAGGAAGACATGACAAGGCTTGATACCAGCCTTGGAGGCTACTAAGGAGAACAAGTCTAAAATCACAGCTACGTGCAACTGTCTTTACCTTACAACGCAGGCATGAATGCTGCCCAAGCCTGTTACAGGAAACACCTGTTGGAGAAAATCAATATAAAATTCAGTACTTGGAAACTGCAGATCTGTGATGTTTTTAAGACCTTGCAAAAATATGTAATAATGTAATTGAGGCATTTATTTTTAATTCCCTGACACAACTGCACTTTGGCAACACGAATCACTCATTTTACCATACAGTATCATTTTACTAGGTTTTTTTTCATGTCTAAGCCTCATTGCAATAATGTAATTTGACACTAAAAGTTGAAGAGGGAAAAAAGTTTAATTCTTTCTTGAGTTTCCAAACTTTTAAAAACAGAAGTTTCAGAACCAGTTTGGTATTAAGTGATCATCTTGCTTTTCCTTTTCTCTCAATATCAAAAGAAGTGCTAGCATTTTACTGTCACTAAACAATGCCATGGCAGCCTTTAATAGCATTATCTCATTTAAATGGGATGTGAGAACACTTGAAGCTTGTGAACTTCCAAGCCTAGAACAGTTGTTTTGTTCTGCATTTTCTGTCATGTCCTCTGCAAATGTACTTTATTGCATACAACTTCATATGAAAATCTGTGTGAAATAATTGTAGCTGGCACATGAGCTGTAAAGAGAAGAATCAGTGCTCAAAATGTGACTTGTCTTGAAGCTTCAAATTAGTTTCTTCACTCCACTAGAGGGAGTATAGTAAAGGCAACCATATGGGAATTGGCAGCAATGCAAAGCTGAGTGAATAGCTACTCCTCAAGCAGCAGTAATATGTATTTTATCAGTCGCTGTGCAAGTACTTGTTCCCTTCCACCTTGCCTTACCCCTGTGACAGTCTTTGAATCTGAAGTAATAAATATCATGAGTTCTCCACGTCAGCCAGACAGCCACAGGATTTAGTGCTCAGTCACATGTTTAAAGATGGAACTGGAAATGCTAATGCATATGTATTCAAACATTTCTGGAGTATCGGCACTTTAAAAAACTTCTCTCAGATAGTGGTGGAAAGTAACAATAGCTTTTTCACAGCTAGAATGGGATTTAGACTACAATTGCATGACCGCATTTAAAGTTCATGTATTCTGTAAAAGTTCAGGTTTTATAATCTTGTTACCACACACTGACAGAAATCCTGCCTCTCTACCAAGACTGCATTGTGCCACAAAACATTGAACACTGTGAAAACCCTCAAAAAGCAATTTCTCTATTCAGGGTGTGAGATCACATCTGTGAATTAAAAGCTTCCAACAATCACTGAAAAAACATTCTTGTGGAACAGCTGTTGCTGCTTCAGTATTGCTATGCAGCAAGATATTCTGGCAGAATAAATCAAGGGAAGCTAATCAAGGCTTAGAAAATAGCTGGCTGGGGAAAAGGATGGGACATGAAAAGGAGATAAGAAATTTCTATAGACACAGACTATAACATTAAAATCAACAAATATTCTGAATTGGGAGAAATCAATTAGGACGAAATTAGTCAGTTCTAAAGAAAACAGTCTTATACATGATAAAGAGCACCTTGATTTTCTATAATAAGGACTGAAAATGTTATAATAGTCAAAATTAACACATACAAGTTTTGGAAGCGACAAACGCTTGTCTCGGGGGGGGGGGGGGGGGGGGGCAAAAACCAACAG